GTTGAGTTTATGCAAGGTGCAAATTACAGAACATGTTTACTGCATATTACATGCTTTGATTGGTTACAACTATCTTAAGGAATAAAATACCTTATCTACGTTTCTCAGGATTTGGATTGATGATTTCTTTTTCATTTCGTAAAATAATGTTTTAATGTGAGTAAGGAAAGAGGGTCCACTCCTCCGACTGGTACATAATTGCCCACAACAAGTGCCATCCATCTTTTCAATCTTCGCTCTACAGGGCAATGATCTTTGAGGACCCATGTGCCAGCATGTGTATAGGTGTGTGTGTTAAGCAGTGTGAGTGGGTTTGGTGGGCAGGAGCCCAGGGCTTTCCTATCCTAGGACCTGATGTCCCACAGGGAAACAGGGACATTCAGTCCTGTACCCTTGTGCCTTCTCAGTGGCCACACATCACCTTCTACTAAACCGTCCCAGCTTTGAAGGATTGGGCCATCTCCATATGTTCACTCCCATAACCATACTGAAAGGTCCATGTGCATCAATGCATCTCTGTTTTTGTACAACAGAGCCCTAAAAGCAGACATTCTGCCACACAATGGATATACTCATTTCAGGGTTTGGCTGCTATTTCTGAGATCTACGCTTGCTTTATCGAGTTTGAGTCCTTGTTAATTCTCCCCAAATCCCCCCAAGACATAGCTGTATAGTTTTTAATTGTGAGTCCTTCTAGTTGGGGCATGTGGGACACGGAGTCAACATGGCATAATGAGCGGTGCAACGTCCATGCCCAGAATCTGAACCCTGGGCCACAGAGAAGATGGCAGGAACTTAAACCCACGGCCATGGGTCCAGCTCCCACGTTTGAGGCTTGTTTGGGAAAGCAGGGACTCCAGAGACATTGGAGGCGGCACCTGAAGGGGAGGCTGACAAGACAGGAGTCAGGCCATCTGGGCCTCTGGGAGTGGCCCATGGAGCCGAGAAGGGCCAGCCCAACACTCTCCCTCAGGTATCCCCCCCTACAGCATCTTCTGCCCCAAGTCCTGGAACACTCTTCTGCCAAGCCCCTTCCCACGACACACCCCTGGCCCAGGGACCCTCAGCCAGCCCAGCACACATCCTCCACGATTCAGCTTCTAGGTAGGGCAGCCAGGCCCTGCTTCCCAGCCAAAGGAGACTGTAGGCCAGGCCACTCCTTTCTGCACCAATCTCCCCCCGTCTTGGTCCCTTTCTCAGGAAGAGACCTCTATGGGCAGGTGAGGGACACATCGACGTGCCCTTGAAGGTGTCCATCCAGATAAAGCTTTGAGTTGCATCACCAACACCACTTGACCTTGTGTGAGCAAAGGAGACCTTTAGGAAGCAGAGCAGGGGCTGCTGGAGCTGCGGGCTGGGGAGAGCCTCGGTCAGGGCCTTTAGCCCTGGGCAGAGCCCGAGAAACACCCCTCAGCCTCCTCCACCAGCAACGCCCTGTCCCCCTGCCGTGACAGCCCACCTTGGGGTCCCTCACATTCAGTATGTGCAAGGGAGGGGACTCTGCTTCCTGCTAAACAGTCCAAAGGAAGAGAAGTGGGGAGCCCTCCCCTCCTTCCAAGTCAGCTTATGTGGGATCCACTTCCTCCGAGGCTGTGGGGCAGGCCATGGGCGGCAATCTCTCTCTTCTCTGACACAGGATGGAGCCCCCCAGTCAGAGACCATAGGTCGTCACAGAGAGGAAACAGGGCCTTCCCTGGAGGGAGGGAGAGGAGCTCCTCTGGACAGGGAATAAGCAAGGCTGGAGAGAAGGGGGACCACGCAGAAGGGCTGCCATGGGCTGGGGCAGTGCCACAGCAGTTTCACTACACACACACACACACATACACACAGTTTTTACCCTCTGAGGTAATGGAAGTGTTACCTATCTTTATTACAGAAATACAGTCCCAGTATTGATGTATCCTAAAGTATGACATTGTACTCCACAAGCTTAGACAATGTTATGTGTCCATTAAATCACAATTGAGCTGGAACAATTTCTTAGAAAGGAGGAAAAGGCCACTTACAGAATGACAGAAGATATTTGCAAGTCACATTTCTGCTAAGGGGTGAACATCTAGAATATGTGAGAAACTCATACAACCCAAAACCCGAAGAAATAAATTTACCTCACTGAAAAATGGGCAAAGCAACTTGAACAGAGGATTCTCCAAAGAAGACAGGTCAGTGGCCAAAGTTTAGGAAAAGATGTTGAACGTCCATCACCCACCATAAACAAGTGCAAAACGAGATGTCACGTCACACCTGTTACCATGGCTCTCATCACACACTCACGCAAAAGATAGTGTTGGCGAGCATGTGAAGACATTGGAACCCTGGTGTATCCTGTCGTGCTAAAGGTAACATTGTGCAGCTGCTATAGGAAACTCTATGGAGATTCCCCAAAAGGATTCAACCTGGAAATAATATACACTCCACTAATTCCATTCTTAGGTATATATCCTCCAAATTCCAAGCAGGAACCTGAAGGGACACAGGCACTCCCATGTTCTTGGCAGTGTCATTCACAAGAGCCAAGCTGTAGAAACGACCTAAGTGTCTGTCCACGGATGAAGGGGTACAGAAACTGTGGCATACACTTACAAGGTGTAGCCGCCCCTGACGTAGGAAGGGTTAATAATCACTGGAAAAGGCTTGCCAAGAAACTGTGACCCGGAGGTGAGAAGGCCAGTTAGCCAATGACGGGTAAGACCTCCAGGAGGAGGCAACATAAGCCAGCCACCAGTCGCCCGGGGGCACAGATGGAGACACGATATCAGGAGCAGGAGGGGCCGTTGCCTAGGAGGACTTGCATGCTCCGAGATAAAATATAGGAGCACAGCAATAACATGATAATATCAAAACAGAGGCTGAGGGAGGGCTCCTTGAGAAATCACTAAGAATTCTTGGCATTCGCTAATTACATTGTTCAGAACACCTGTGTATGTTTAACAGATGTAAGCTATGTATATATTGAAACACTGGTTATAATAAACTCAGAGTGGCCGTCAGCCCTCTCCGCATCTATCCTAATGTGTACATTGGATTGCAACACCGACACAAGGCAATATTATTTCGCCCTTGTAAAGAAGGAAATTCTGCCATAGGACACGACATGGATGAATCCAGATGACATCATGTTAATGGAAGAAGACAGTGACAGAGGGACAAAGAATGCATGGTTCCACTTCTGAGGGCTATCTAAAACAATCAAACTCACAGAGGCAGAGACTACGACGGTGCTTGTCAGGGAGTGGTGGAGGAGAAAAAGGGTGAGCCGCGTTTCCACGGCTCATACAGTACACAAAGTGTACTGAGGAAATCCTTTCATGACATGAACAACAGAACATTTTATAAAGCAGAAAGCTGCCTAACACTGTTGCCCTGCCCTGGCCCTGGTCTTGCCCTCCACTCTCCTCATATTTATATACTCAAAATATTTATACTTGAATCCAAATTTACAGAGTTATTCTAAAGACAGGATCACCCTAACCGGCGCAGTCACTTTGCACTGAACATGAATAATTCTCCCTGCCCTTTCCAATGTTTGAGGGGATGATTTCAATGGCTGCCTAGTGTTCCTTATCATGTCTCGTACATAACTAGCTGCTTCCATTGTCCCTGTCATCATCTTCCTCTATCAAACATCTCTGGATGGTGTCTGGAAGTGGAGTTCAATTGATCGCAGCTCTAGACAGCTTCCAAATCTAGAATGCTTCACGGAGCTTCTCGAGCACTTTCACTTTCTCCTTTGCACTTCGGGTGGCAGGCATTGACATCAAAACTCATCTCCCCCTCTACATTGGGAGCTCCTTTCAGGGCAAGATGCCTCTCCGTCACTTCTGCCACCAACTCTTTGCACAGTGCCTGACATATGGGAAAACCTCAACAAAGATTCAAAACACACAACAAATCTAGACAGGTGACTCATTGTTGCAGAGAACTTCAACTGTCCATCAAAATCCATCCTCCACTTCTTGGGGCACTGGGCTGCATGCCGTGGTCCAGCCTCCGTGGTGGCTGATGACCACTTCTTTGCCGAGGGAAGAGAAAAGGAACTGACTGGTGCAGTTCTGGACCCGGCTGATAACATCCTCCTGCGTGAATTTCCTTCTGTTCTTTCCAATCATGCTGATGGATGCAGATGAGGATCATGTCCTAGGGAGGGAGAAGGCACACGATGGAAGAACGATGTGTTCCTGAAGGCCATGTGAAAGATTGTGGTCCCTCCAGTCGGAACACCCACCATGCACTGGTATCTGGGAAAATAGTGCTATGCTCCTGTAATTTGGGCTGTGTTTCAATAACTCATCACATGCCACCAAAAGTCTCAGTCACAGGACTAACTTTAGTTGTGATCCACCTAGCACATTCCAAATGATGGAAGTCTATTTGGCTCTAAGGACAGAGCCGGTCAGTGGTGGGATGGATCTTCGTTCCACACCTGTGCCCCAAGTACTCAAGAGCGCTGCTGCTGAAAAGACCCAACAAGCTCGTGCCCCCCAAATAAAGATCTGGAAGGGTAGCTGGACAAAACCACGAAATGAAAACCACAGGAATGAAAGGAGCAGATACCACCAGGAAAACAAGCCCATGCTGCTATGGAGCACCGGGTCCAGAAGGAGAGGGGCCTGGAAGGGCTGCCACGAGGTGACATTCATATTTGCAGCAGCATGACAAGGAGCCAGCCCTACCTCAATCCAGGGCTCCGTAGCCTGTAGGAACGCCCAGCAGTGCACACTCTTGGAGGCACAAGTGAGGTTGGCCAGAGAGGAGGTTAGAGAGAAAGGCAGCATGGCTAGAAGGAGCTTGGCAGCAGAGTCAAGGAAGAAGGAGGGGAGAGGAGGGCAAGACCAGGGCCAGGGGCAGGGCAACAGTGTTAGGCAGCTATCGTTATTGCTGTGTGACAACCTTTCCCCATCTTTACGGGCTTAACCAATGAACGTTGATTATGTGACAGTGGCACTGGACCAGGAATCCAGCAGTGCTCAGCTGGGAGCCTCTGCCAGATGATCTCAGGAAGTCAGGCTGTGCTCTGAACTGAGGCAGGATCTGCTTCCCTCCCCCTCTGAGTGCACTCTGGGTCCTAGAAGGACCCCTTGCAACTGGAGGCCTGAGTGCCCCTCTGTCGGTGGGTCTCCTTCAGGGCCAGGCCTCAGCAGCCTCTCTAGAGCACAACCCAGAACACACAGGCCTGTTCCCCAGAGTGAGGGATCAGAGAGAGAGAGAGAACAGCTGAGAGTGAGCAGGAGGAGAGCCCTGGACTGTTTGGGACCCAGTCTCAGAACTGGCTTCACATCACTCTGCCCTGTTCCACGGAGTAGAAGGGAATCACGAACTTCAGGCCACACTCAAGGGGAGTGGATTCCAGCAGCATGTGTAGACCGAGCAGAGGGGATCACAGGAGGCCATTGAGGGAGAAGGAGAAGACCTCACAGGCTCAATGCCCTGGGCAGAATCACAGTCTAGTTCAAGGTGGAGCCAGGTGTAAACCCAGCTCGGCATCCTCAAGGATGGGGCCCTGGCTGCTCCCAGGCTTCTTCAGGGTGCTGTGAAAATGCGGTGCTGCTCTAACTGCAGTCAGACATGGAGAGGGCAGGGGGCTGAGACTGAGAAGTCGGCAGCCTGGTCGTGCATTTGGCAAGTTTCTGCCTGAGGATGAGCCCAGGGCAGGCGAACATTTGAGTGTTCCCCATCCATGTCATGCCTAGGGTGGAGGGAGCAGGGGCCACCTTTGCTGAGCTCATGCTTATGCACTTCTGAACTCAATCCCACACTGGAGAATTGGGAAACTGAGGCCCATAAACAGGTAAACACTGGCCCACGGCACATGACAGACAAGAGTCCAAGCAGAAGGAAGTATTCTGATATTCTAGGGCAAGACTGGAACCCTTCCAATAGGCTTTGCAGTGGACAACAGAAACCGTCAGTTCTTGGGAAGCTCTTGCCCATCCCTTCCTCTGTGGAAGCTGTTTCCTCCTGGGCATCCAGGGCTTGAGCCGTGACACACACGTACACACAGAGACTTTAGATGGAAGGACGGACTATGGGGTGGGCTCAGAAGAGAAGCAGACACAGGGGAGGAGAGGAGAGGAAGAAAAAAGTGGTTAGAGGTATTCCCTACATGGGACACCGCTCCTCCAATTTCACAGGTATTTTCCCACTCGGGCCTGAGGGCATCTCCAAGGAGTATGGGCTAGGATAATCCCCCCCATGCAAACTGGAGGTAGAATGGCCCCAAGAGGCACCATGGCTTCTCCAGGATGAGAAACAGGGAAGAAGGAGCACTTGTGTCTGCGTCTGTCTCAAAGCTGGGACCCTGGCTGCACCCAGACCTTCTCGGAGGCCTGTGGAGACAGGTGGTTTGGGGATCCTGGGGACACATATGATACTGCATGGAAAAGGGGGTGAGCAGTGCCCTGTCCAGAAGACTGCTTGCATGGGTGGTATGAGAGGAGGTGGCTCAGATCACCGTGGTCTCCAGGCAATGATGTAACCTCTTTCACAACAATGCCCACAGTGCAGGGGCCTCCTGTAAACAGGCACCCAGATCCTCACACTCAGCTCACTTGGCTGGAGACAGCTGCTACAGAAAGATGTTTTCCTGCTGTATCCTGCCTTACCACGCCTATGGTCTCCAGAAGACCTGGAGCCAAAACCTTTTTACTCGTTTTAAAGGGTGGCTCACCTCTCATATGCCACACCTATGGCCGTTTGCCAGGAGGTCATCAAAGGTAACACGAGGGGGCCTACATCGAGCTATCCAGCTCAGGCCACTTCTGTGAGCCCCCACTGAACAGCCCCCACCTTCTCCCTTCCGTGGGGGAGATCCTCACTTGGTGGGAACTGCTGGGTGTACAGCTGATCACCTGGTGCTGCTGCCATCTTCACATCCCAGGCCAGGGCTGGCACCATGGAAAGGGGATTCCCAAGTTGCCTCTTAACTGCGCCAAGTTTCCTTCAATTCTTTTTCTGATGGGAGTAACCTTCGTTTATAGCATTATGTAGTTTCAGGGGTTCATCGTTATATTGAGATTTCTGTGTAGATGACATTGTGTTCACCACATAACGACTAATGACAATCCATCACCACACACATGTGCCTAATCACCCCTTTCACCCTCCTCCCTCTGCACTTCCTCTCTGGAACCCCCAATCCAATGCCTATCTCCTGTGATTGTTTGCTGCCGTCATCCCTGATTTATGAGAGTAGTCACAAGGCTATTGGACTTTCTCCCTCTGAATTATTTCACTTAGCATAATACCCTCCATGCCCATCCATGCTGTCACAGAAGGCCAGATCTCCTCCTTTCGGATGACTGAGTAGTATTGCATGGTGTATATATGCCACATTTTCCTCATGGGTAACTAGGTTGCTTCCAAGTCTTGGCTATTGTGAAATATGCTGCAAGTTACACAGGCATGCTGACATCTTTACCCATTCGTGTTTTCACATTCTTGAACACATACCCTGTGGTGGAATAGCTGGGTCATACGGTAGTTCCATTCTTAATTTTCAGAGGAATCTCCATCCTGTTTTTCACACTGGCTGCATGGGTATGCACTCCAACCAGCAGCGTAGGCAGGGTCCCTGGTCTCCACATCCTCTGCAACACATGTTTTGTCCTGTCTTGTTCATTAGAGCCATTCTGATGACTGTGACGTGAGATCTCGTGGTAGTTTTGATTTCAACTTCCCTAAGAAGTGGTGAGATTGAACATCTTTTCATGTGCCTGTTGGCCATCTGTCTATGTGGGTCTGGAGTGGAGAGAGTCACCGAGGTGTGAGTGCCCCCGAAGTCAGTCAGCCAGTGCTCTGAGGCTTCCTGCCTGGCTGCCGGGCACTGTCTCTACAGGTCGTTCCTCAGGAGTTTGGAAAGAACAAGACACATCAGTCCTTCCTCTCCCTGACTCTACAGGAAGGGATGATGCGGCACCCGGCCGACACAAGCCAGCGCTGGGCCTGGGTGAGTGCAGGTGCTCAGTACACCCAGAACCCAGGGCCCCAGGACACCAAAGACAACACTAGGTCCTACAAGGCCCTGGTACCAGTCCTGCTCCAGAAGGAATCTGTCTCCCCATCTCTGCCCCCAACCTGCCCGCACTGCCCAGCTCCTGTCTTGGCCACATTCAAAGTCACTGTCACCATAACTCTACGAATCCCAGAAAAGAGACTTTTCTCCCATTTCACCTCATGTTTGGTCAAGGGGATCGTTGCATTTTTCTACACATTTTCCTCTTTCACCCCATCCCCAAGTGTCTATGATGACCTCATAATCCTTCCACACTTTCTCCATGTCTCACACAGCCTCATGATGGACAAGGATGCTTTTCCTCAAAAGGATGTGGGGCTCATTGGAACATGTGTGTTGCTCTGTCTTTTGCCCTCCTGAGGAACACCTGCCCATGGCCCCTCCAGGTCAGGGGCCGGGGCCTCACTGAGCTGCACGACATTTTGGATGGCAGACCGTGGAGGAGACTGATTCAGCCCTTCACTGCTGTGGGACCTCATGTTGTCTTTTCATCAGTGCTGCACTGAACGTCCTACCTGTCCTCCTGTCCCAATCCATCCCACCGCAGGGAAAGCCCCCGTCTTCTCCTCTCTGCAATGGGCTCTTTTGTCAGAAACCCCAGGGCTGAGGCTCTTAACACACACAGGTGCTGTCAATTCTCCGCTAACACCTTGATCTGCTACTGGTACTGATACTAACACGTTCGTTCATTCCCCTGTCCGATTCTACCCACAAGACCAGAAGTTTTTCCTACTCTGGGCACTCCTGTCCCACCTCTTGCTAGAAGTCACTGGGAGCTTGAGGCATTGCTCTGACGGCCAGCCCCAAACCTCCTGGTGCCCAGGATGCTGTCTCTGATGCTGAGCCTCTCCTCTGTGCCACCCCAGGCTCTCGACACATCCACAGTGGACAAGAGATCGTTTCCCCGGCTGTGGACGGTTCACAACACTGCACTCGAGCATCTGGTGGCTCACCTTGTGCCCGCCTTCCTGCTGTGCGACACCACTTTTATCCACAGCTTCCTGTTGACATACACAGATGTGGCCACCACACAAGAGGTGCTAGATGAGTTCTTTAATAGGTGAGTGCCCTGCCCCTTCCCAGGACTCTGCGGCTCCAGCTACCTGCATGCTGGGAGTCTTGGGGAGATCCGCGCACCTCTCTGAGCCTCAGTTTGCTCCTCTGAATAATGGGGAGAACAGAGGAACAACCACCAAGGGCTATTGTAGGGACTCAATGAGCTCCTGCCTGGACAGCCCTTTCGAGAAGCTGAGCCCTATGAAAGGTCAGCTGGATCGGCCCTCCAGGGCTCCGTGCTAGGTAGGAGTCAGACAGTCACAAAAGACTCCTCAGGCAGCTGCCATCCAGTACAGCCAATGTGATGCCCTCCTGTCTCCTCTAGTTACAGATTCATCCTCTATTGCAGAGTGGATGATGCACCCACCAGCCTATGGAAAAAGTGAGTGGGCACTGGATCAAGTGGGAGAGCCTCCCCTCTCCACACTGTGAGGGGAGTGAGGGGCCTGTGATCGGGTTGCTGGCAGGACCTGCCATCCCAACATCTTGTGATTCCTTCAGGCCGGCAGAGTTCTGATGGCTTCTCAAAGAAGAGAAGACAGCAGACCAGGAGAGCTCTGGAGGGGGCTGTGTGTGCTGTGGGAGCCCAGGGGGGAGTGGAGGAAGCTCCTACAGCACCCAGATGCATCCAATCCCCATCCCAGTCCCGCCTCCACTCCCCATCCTGGGACACAGAACAGGAGGTGTCTGAGCATCCTGCTCACTCATATCGTAGAACCTCCATGGTGGGGGCTCCGCTGTGTCCCAGCGAGCCCACTCCGTGCTCAGGGGCCAAATGACACCCTCCGTGTCAGCCCCTAGCAGGAGGGGAGGGTCACCCACATGGGTCACCTAGTGAATCAGGCAGCACAGAGGCACAGGAGCTAAAGGCTGAGGTGTTTGGAGGGCAGTAGGAAGCATGGGCGGGAGACAAAGGCTGCTGTTCTCTCATCGGTCAGATATTCACTGCACCCTACTGTGAGCCAATGTGTGCAAGAACAGAGCAGATGGCCCCACGCCCTTCCCTCCTGGACTGGCATCCCAGTGGGATGTGCCAGGAGACACTCGAGGACTGTGTCAGGCTTCCCTGAGGAAAAGGATGGGCGATCGCACCAGGGACCGAGTGCTCTCACTTCCCAAGGTGTTATCCCAGCCTCTCCTTGGAGACACGGCCTGTTCTGCCAAGCTGGCCAGGTTGTAGGTGCACAGAAAGTGGGACTGACCCCTGGCTGGGCTGGAGTAGGAGGCACTGGAGCCCAGGCCCCCACAGAGGTACCCTGGGAGGGCAGTGTGGAAGGAGAGGCCAGTTCTCTGACTCCGCTGCCCACCTGTCTCTCCTCAGGGCCTTGGCCTTCATTCTTGGCACGTGGATGGAATCCTATCCCCAGGACTTTTGCCAGCCCCCACACTTTCCCAGCTTGAGAAGGGTATTGGCCTTCCTCGCGTTCAGCATGCCAGGCTCGCAGGTGGAGCATCAAGCTCGCCTTCTGCTTTCACAGTTGCTGCACCCTGAGCCCAGCGAGGCAGGGAGTCAGGGTGAGCAGGACATGGGCTGTGTGACACGGGCGTGTGTGGAGGCAATGTGGCCGGGCCGCTCAGCACAGAGCCTTCAGAGGCTGGGGTTAGGCTGGGAGCAATGAGCTGGCTCCCATCACAATTCCCACGGACTCCAGATATGGGAGACCTTCTGGAGGGTGGTTCGTGTACTGAATCTCCCTGATTGGTGAGCCGTTTCCCTTCCGTGGGAGGAACATGGAAAGACAGTCACGTTTGGTTTCCCTGTGTGTGTTTGTCCGTGTGTGTGTGTGTCTGTGTCTGTGTGTGTATGTGTGTGTGGCATGGTTACTTTGGGGTATCTTTTTTTCACCATTCACCCATGTTAATTCTTGATTGCAGTGACAGTACTTTATAACCTTACATAAATATCAAGTGTACAGCGTTATATATTTCGATTTCTGTGTAGATTACAGCAGGTCCCCCCCCCCAAAGACTAATTACAATCCGTCACCACACACATGTGCCTTGTCATGTGGATGTGGTTTTCTCTTCTTGGATCTGCAGCACCAGCTCCTGAGAAAGATCCCAACCCAGATGAACATCGCCCCCCTTCTCCAACTCTAGTGCCGACCACACCTCAGAGCCACAGATCGACGTCCAGTGCCGCAGCCGCCTCGAGTCTCAGCCCGGATTGCACTTCAAGCAATGGAAAGACCATTCACGTCCTCCCAGCAACGAGCCTCAGCCCCTGGACCGTGGCCCCACCACTGATTTCTGCCCCTTCCCCTTTACCGCCAGTTCATTAAAGTTCTATTTTGTCTTGCACATGCTTAATGCTTGCCTTTAATTTTTCTGTTCACTTCAACAGGATGTCATTCCTTGATCCTTTCCAAATGTCCATTTCCCTGGCCAGGAGGATGCTCACAGTGTTGCCCAACCGTCATCCTGACCTCATTCAAGAACACTGTCGTGGAAGGGAAGGCCTCTCCCTGTTTTTCTCTCAGTCCTCCTCCCTCCCACCCCATCCCTGGGGCCCGCTGAGCTTTCTGACTCTATGGACTTACCTCTGATGGGCTGTTCAGCTGAGCGGATGCATCCAAGATGTGGCCTTTTGTGTGTGGCTAAGTAATATCTGAGGAGTATGATTAATCACTTTTTAAATTCAAGAAAACAGTTTTTATTAGGGAGAAAAATTCCTGCTCCATCAAAGCTTATGTATGAAAAATGAAGCCCCCATGTTGACTATTGTCTTTATCTGGGGATAGGCACCACATTTAAAGGGTGACACGAGAGCTGGAAACCAAGAGGGGAATGTGTGAGGCCGGGAGACACCTTTCACATCGTTTCCCTTCCTGGATGGGCCACGGATCAGGTTATGCAATGAGCAAATTACAAAATATGATTATCGCATATTACACGCTTAGATTGATTACAAATATCTTAAGGAATAAAATACCTTATCTACGTTTTTCAGAATTTGGATTGACGATTGTTTTTCATTTAGTAAAATAATGTTTTAATGTGAGTAAGCAAGAGGGTTCAATCCTCTGACTGGGAAATAAGTGCCCACAACAAGTGCCATCCATCTTTTCACTCTTCGCTCTACAGGGCAATGATCTTTGAGGACCCATGTGCCTGCATGTGTATAGGTGTGTGTGTTAAGCAGTGTGAGTGGGTTTGGCGGGCAGGAGCCCAGGGCTTTCCTATCCTTGGACCTGATGTCCCACAGAGGAACAGGGACACTCAGTCCTGTCCCCTTGTGTGTTCTCAGTGGCCACACATCACCTTCTACCAAGCAGCCCCAGCTTTGAAGGACTGCACCATCTCCAATTGTTCACTCCATAATTGTACTGGAATGTACATCTGTTTTTGTAGAACAGAGCCCTAGAAGCAGACATTCTGCCAACAACTGATACACCCATTTGGTGGGTTGGCTGCCATTTCCGATGTCTAGGCTTGCTTAACAAAATGAGAAACAAAAACCACATGATCATCTCAATAGATGCAGAGAAAGCATTCAACAAGATCCAACATCCATTTATGATAAAAACACTCAATAAAATAGATATAGAAGGAAAGTACCTCAACATAATAAAGGCCATATATGACAAACCAACAGCCAACATCATACTCAACGGACAAAAACTGAAACCCATCCCTCTCAGAACAGAAACAAGACAACGGTGCCCACTTTCACCACTCTTATTCAACATAGTAGTGGAGGTTTTTGCCAGAGCAATTCGGCAGGAAAAAGAAATAAAAGGAATCCAAATAGGCAATGAAGAAGTAAAACTCTCACTGTTTGCAGATGACATGATCTTATATATAGAAAACCCCAAAGAATCCATAGAAAAACTATTAGAAACAATCAACAACTACAGCAAAGTTGCAGGGTATAAAATCAACGTACATAAATCAGTATCATTTCTGTATGCTAGCAATGAACTAACAGAAAAAGATCTCAAGAACTCAATCCCATTCATGATCGCAACAAAAAGAATAAAATACCTTGGGATAAATTTAACCAAAGAAGTGAAAGATCTATACAATGAAAACTACAAGACCTTCTTGAAAGAAATCGACGACAACATAAAGAGATAGAAAGACATTCCACGCACATGGATTGGAAGAATAAACATAGTTAAAATGTCCGTACTACCTAAAGCAATCTACAGATTCAATGCTATCCCAATCAGAATTCCAATGTCATTCTTTACAGAAATTGAACAAAGAATGCTAAAATTCATATGGGGAAACAAAAGACCCAGAATTGCTAAAGCAATCCTGAGAAAGAAGAACAAAGCTGGAGGCATCACAATCCCTGACTTCAAAACATACTACAAAGCTACAGTAATCAAAACAGCATGGTACTGGTACAAAAACAGATGCACAGATCAATGGAACAGAATTGAAAACCCAGAGATAAAACCACACATCTATGGACAGCTAATCTTTGACAAAGGAGCTGAGGGCCTACAATGGAGGAAAGAAAGTCTCTTCAGCAAATGGTGCTGGGAAAACTGGACAGCCACATGTAAAATAATGAAAATCAACCATTCTTTTTCACCATTTACTAAAATAAACTCAAAATGGAGCAAAGACCTAAAGATTAGGCCTGAAACAATAAGTCTTCTAGAAGAGAATATCGGCAGTACACTCTTTGACATCAGCTTCAAAAGAATCTTTTTGGACACCACAACCCCTCACATGAGGGAAACAATAGAAAGAATAAACAAATGGGACTTCGTCAGACTAAAGAGCTTCTTCAAGGCAAGGGAAAACAGGATTGAAACAAAAAAACAGCCCACTAATTGGGAAAAAAAATTCACAAGTTATTTATCCGACAAAGGGTTAATCTCCATAATATACAAAGAACTCACACAACTCAATAATAAAAAATCTAACAACCCAATTACAAAATGGGCAGGGGGCATGAACAGATATTTCTCCAAAGAAGATATACGGATGGCCAATAGACACATGAAAAGATGCTCATCATCACTAATCATCAGGGAAATGCAAATCAAAACTACACTAAGATATCACCATACACCTGTTAGAATGGCAAAAATATCCAAAACCAAGAGTGACAAATGTTGAAGAGGCTGTGGAGAAAAGGGAACCCTCATACACTGTTCGTGGGAATGCAAACTGGTACAGCCACTATGGAAAACAGTATGGAGATTCCTCAAAAAGTTAAGAATAGAAATACCTTATGACCCAGCCATCCCACTACTGGGTATCTACCCTAAGAACCTGAAATCAGCAATTCCAAAAGTTCCATGCACCCCTATGTTCATCACAGCATTATTCACAATAGCCAAGTCATGGAACCAACCTAAGTGCCCAGCAACTGATGATTGGATAAAGAAGATGTGGAAGACATATACAATGGAATACTACTCAGCCATAAAAAAGGACAAAATCGTCCCATTCACAACAAAATGGATAGACCTTGAGGGTATTATGTTGAGTGAAATAAGCCAGACAGAGAAAGATGAACTCTGTATGACTCCCCTCATAGGTGGTAGCTAACATATAGACAAAGAGAATTGATTGGTGGTTGCCAGGGGAAAGGGGGGTGGGGGGAGGGCAATAGGGGTGAAGTGCTGTACCTACAACATGACTAATAATGATGTACAACTGTAATTTCACAAGGATGTTAACTTTCATAACCTTAATAAAAAAAACAAAAAATGTGGCAACAGTGAACAGAAACAACTGATTGAGCTAACAATCAGAGATAGAGAGGGAAATCAGGGAGGACAGCTCACAGAAGAAGTGATTGATTATATTGAAACCCTGAAAAGACAGTTTAATATCAGAACATGTGAGTAGCAAAGAACGTGCTGCTCCCCATGCACATGCTACAACTAGTAGCATGGCACAGAGTTGCTGTGACACAGAAACTGTGTAGAGCAGAGGGTTGCAATGGGCCACAAAGCGGTCATTGGGCATCACAGCAAATAGAATTGATTTAGTCACTACAAATGTGCAAAAGAAAAAGGATTGCACCATACATCTTGAAAATGGAATACTTTTGTCTTCTGCAAGTAGCTTCAGAGCATTGTGGGAACAATGATAGAAGAATAGTAGAAATCCACATAGAGGTGGCTGAGAAAAAAGTACACGGGGGTGTGTAGTTAGGGTTAATTTTGATGATCACAATCATTCCAAGATTCCCTATCACACTGAAGCTGCAAATGGCCAGAAATACCAAGAAGAGGAGAATTTGCAGTGCCGGGTAGTCTGAGAAGCCAAAGAGAGTAAGTATGACCCTACCAGTTATATTTATCTCTGCCAGAAACATGTTTCCTGATGGTAAGATCTGAAAGTCAGTCTTGGAAATAATACATTATGGAAAGCAATTGACAAATGAAGCATACTTCACTCTCCCCTGTGTATAGCATAAGGTGAAACAAAATAGATCTGTGTTATAATCCTGTTAGGTGTTATGTATCCAAGATAGGAATATCTAATGTTTCAGAAAAGAATTACTAGTTAATTTTACTTCCTCAAAACTTATAAAACTTAATTCTGTTCATGTTCTGAAATATGACTTTAAAGACTTACAAATGGAATAATATGAACTCAAGAAAATTAGGTGGTAACATGTAATCAAATCCTCATGTAAGACATTCTTATCGCATTGATTTTGTGCATTGCACAAAGAAAGGCCTAGAAAAATGAAAAGAAAATGTTTTTTATGTCCCACAATTACTAATGACAGGCAAAGCATCTAAAATAACTTCTATAGTTGGAATGAATTTTTATAAAAAGATGTGCATATATTGTGATATAAAGAAAGAATTCTCTGTATACTTAATCATATCCATATTTTAAATATCAGTTTAGCACTTTAATGGCCATTCCTATTTTGACTACATAAGTCAAATATCAAAGTAAATAATTACTTATGTTTTTCAACGAAGAATTTCTATTGAACTGCCTTTTTCTACAGGTAAGCACACAGAAGCCTGAATAAGTCATGACTTCTTCAGTGACAGATAGATATCAGATGATCAACCTACAGGTAGAACTCAGATTCTTAAATTCACAGCCATGTACCCATCACTCTATTCCAGGCTCTGACTTACATGATAAATTGAGATATTCACATTTTTATTTTGTAAAGACCACATTTTCACAATTTTTTGCTAATTCTTTTGACCATTTTAAAGACAATCTTCATACTATAAAACTGTGAAAACCAGTCCAATGAATGTGTTGAGGGCCACAGAGCTGTTCTGAAGATCAACGTCAAGATGAAATGTAGAGAATGGGAGTTAGAGAAACATCCTTGTTCAGGAATAAGTATGATAAGT